AGTACAATGGTACGATCTTGGCTCACTGCAACCTCCGCCTCCCAGGTTCAAGTGATTCTGCTGCCTCAGCCTCCTTAGTAGCTGGGATTACAGGCGTGCACCACCACACCTGGCTAATTTTTGTATTTTTAGTAGAGATGGGGTTTCAGCATGTTGGTCAGGCAGGTCTTGAACTCCTGACTTCATGATCCACCCGCCTCAGCCTCCCAAAGTCCTGGGATTACAGGCGTGAGCCACTGCGCCCAGCCAGACGTGGCACATTTGGAGTCAGAAGCAGGCTCTGCGTAAGACCCAGGCTCAAATCGGGGCTCTGCCTTTTTCTCATAGAGTGATGTTAGCTCTCTGTGCCTCAGTTTCCTCATCTGTACCAGGAGAACAATGCTAACACCTGCCCTGTCAGGTTGTTACGAGGACCAGCTGAGAGACTGTATGTGTTATACTCATCGCAGTGCCTGAGACAGAGTAATCATTCAGTAAATGGTGGCTGCCATCACTAGTATTATTACATCCTATTATTACTTTTGTTAATTCCTCTCTCCAGTGATGGGAATTTTGTTTCTTTTCTCATTTATTTATTTATTTTAGAGACAGGGTCTTGCTCTGACACTGAGGCTGGAGTGCAGTGGTGTGGTCATAGTTCACTGCAGCCTCAACTTTCTGGACTCAAGTGATCCTCCTCAGCCTCCTGAGTGGCTGGAACTACAGCTGTGAACCACCACACCTGGCTAATTTTTATATTGTTTGTAGAGACAGGGGTCTTTCTATGTTGCCCAGGCTGATCTCGAACTCCTAGGCTTAAGCTGTCCTCTTGCTTTGGCCTCTCAAGGTGCTTGGATTCCAGGCGTGTGTTGGGAATTTCATTTTGGTCCTTCCGCGCATCCGTATCTTTGTAATACTCCCGAGTGACTGAGAGTACCTGTTGTTCTTGCCCTCAGGCCAAGGTGGAAGGGGATGTTGAGCCAGGACCCCCCCACCCAGCCCATCAGCATATCTGCCCCATGTTCTGGGGTCTTCCAGGCTGGAGTCTCTGACTCCAGAATGGGGCTCATGAGTGCAGAGGATGTAATACTAATAAGAATTAGGCTGGGCTTGGTGGCTCACGGCTGTAATCCCAGCACTTTGGGAGGCTGAGGTGGGCAGATCACCTGAGGTCGGGAGTTCGAGACCAGCCTGACCAACACGGAGAAAACCCGTCTCAACTAAATATACAAAATTAGCCAGGCACAATGGCGCATGCCTGTAATCCCAGCTACTTGGGAGGCTGAGGCATAAGAATCACTTGAACCTGGGGGGTGGAGGTGGCGGTGAGCGGAGATGGCGCCATTGCATTCTAGCCTGGGCAACAAGAGCGAAACTCCATCTCAAAAAAAAAAAAAAAAAAGAATGGTGACAAGCTCCAGCACTTACTGAGGGCTTATTCTGTGCCAGGAACTTGGGAGTGCCAGCCAGCAGCCCAGCAGGAGGTTATGGGTACCACTGCCCCCTGCTGCTCAGATCCTGCTTGGTGCCAGCTTCTCAGACCTTCTCTGGCTGGCTGGGCACCCCTGGGTCATGGATCTCTGCCAAGTGGGGAGTGCTGGGAGAGCAGAGCTCACCGCAGGTCTACCCTGCCTAGCTGTGCACACCGACATGGGCCTCTGCAGAAAGAACCCAGTGGGCCCCACCAGCCCCTGAGCCCCAGGACCCTGGCACTCACTGTGCCTTGGTTACGGGGTGAATAATTTAGGCCGCTGAGTGTTGGTCATGAAATATTAAACAGCCTGTTCCTGATGCACCAGCATGTGAGTGTGCGTGGGGGTGACACTGGCACTGGGCTATGGAGGCTGGCTGCCACAAGCCAGCATATTTCTTAAGATAAGTACGTGGCTGAGTCTTCTGTCTCCCTCATCTGTGTTGACGGGACCCCCTCTGGACCACCAGGCATGGTGCCTGCTCTCTGCATCGCCATGAAGTGCCAGGCCCAGCATCAGCCCCAGCAAATGGCAGCACTGTGTCTAGGGAGTGTGGAGGGAGGAGAAATCAGTGAGTGGGGGTCCGTGGGGGGCTGCAGACAGCCTTGGGGTCTCAGGAATCAGGGAAGTGGACACAGAACCAGGACTTTGGGGACAGGGAGATGCTGGCCCGGAGGGTCTCGGGATGTGTGTGAGAGGGAGGGAAAGGGCACACATGATGGGGAGCAGAAGAGGGCTAAGTCATGTTGGGAAAAGGGTGGATGGGCAAAGGAGGGGTGGCCTGGTGGACATTGATAGGCAGGGGACAAGTGGATGAGAGGTTGAATGGGTGAGCGAGGGGTGGACGCAGGGTGGAGCATGTGGTTGATCTGGGGACTGACAGACTGGGGGAGGGAGATGGGGAGGATGTGAATGTGGGGCTGAGGGCCCTACAGGGTCGAGTGGCTCTTGCCCCAAGCCTGTCATACAGTGGGTATCTTTACAATACTGAACGCTGCTACCTGGGCCATGTGTTCTTGTCCTGGTATAACTGTTTTCCCTTCAATCATGCTCTGCACCGTGTCTGCTCCAGACAGTCCTTCGACTATAAGCTGCTTATTCCTTAATTCATGCTCTGTACTGCGTCTACTATAGGCATTCCTCCGATTATGAGCTAAGATATAGTTTTATATATATGTATATGGAAATAACTGAATGATAAGATATTCTTTAGGCACTCATTCTATGAACTAACATGATTATATAAAGGGAAGTAACTAAGTAGTAACACCATAAACTGAGATATTCTCCAAGCCCTAATTCTATAAACTGAGATATCTCACACTATAAACTCAGATATTCTCCAAGCCCTAATTCTATAAACTGAGATATCTCACACTATAAACTGAGATATTCTTCAGGCCTTAATTCTGCCAGGATTCTGCTTAGCTGTCCTCCCTCGGTAACTACATGGGGGGTTACCCACATGTGAAGTTCAGTGAAGAATTGCACCTCCTGGGCACAAAACGTGGCACCCTCCCCCCACCCCCCCATATAGGTCCGGGGGTGGTATGTTGTGGCTCCACCTAGTGTTCCCTCGTGGTAACTGCACCCTGGGCTGTTCACATCCAGCAGCGCAGCAGCCAGGACAGCTCTCCTGTTCGCAGTTAGGCTCCCTCTGGGCTGGGAGAGCAAGGATAAGGGACAGTGATATCCAGAAGCTAGGCCCTAGAAGAAGCCCCTGAGACACATTCCATCTCTTCACTCCCTGCATACCCATATTGTTGGCCAGGCCCTGCATCGCACAGACAGATGTGTGTTCAAATGCCATTTACCAGCTGTGTGACCGAGGAGAGAGCTGAGTCTGTGCCTGCCGTGGGACTATGGGGAATAGCACAGAGTCCGGGCCTTCCAGTCCCACCTGTGAGCCTCCCCAGCTGCAGCTGCAGCATTAATTGAATTCTGATTCTGGCAGTGCCCTGCCCAGTGCCTTACAGGTGTCATCTGTTGATGGTCACAGTAAATTAATAAAAATAGTTGATGGCTGAGTGCGGTGGCTCACACCTGTAATTCCAGTACTTTGGGAGGCCTGATCACTTGAGCTCAGGAGTTTGAGACCAGCCTGGGAAAAACCCCATCTCTACTAAAAATACAAAAATTAGCTGGGCCTGGTGGCACATGCCTGTAGTCCCAGCTACTCAGAAGGCTGAGGCAGGAGAATCGCTTGAACCTGGAAGGCGGAGGCTGCAGTGAGCCAAGATTGCAGCACTGCAATCCAGACTGGACAACAGAGCAAGACCCTGTCTCAGAAAAAAAAGAAAAAGAAAAAGAAAGAAAGAAAGAAAAAAAAAATAGTTGACAATATGGCATTCACTGGGTACTTTACCATGGCAAGACAGCGTGCTAGCTCCAATTTCCCCTCCACAAAATGAGAATGACAATAGGACTTGAGAAGAACCTGGGCCAGGTGCACTGGCTCACCCCTGTAATCCCAACACTTTGGGAGGCCAAAGCAGGTGGATCACTTGAGGTCAGGAATTGCAGACCAGACTGGCCAACATGGCGAAACTGAGTTTCTACTAAAAATACAAAAATTAGCTGGGTGTGGTGGCACACTCCTGTAGTCCCAGATACTTGGGAGGCTGAGGCAGAAGAATGGCTTGAACCCGGGAGGTGGAGGTTGCAGTGAGCCAAGATCACTCCATTGCACTCCAGCCTGGGTGACAGAGCAAGACTCTGTCTCAAAAAAATAAAAAAAGAAGAACCTGCCTGCTAGCACAGTAGAAGCGTGCAGTACATGGTGGACATCCCAAAGGCTGCCAGATTAATAAAAACGGCAACAACAAAACCCAGGATGTTGGACTAGCAATCTCAGACAGCGAGCTGTATTTTAGTACAAGTATGTCCCATGCATTGTTTGGGATATAGAATAGTAAAGCATTATTTGTTTATCTGAAATTCAGATTGAACTGGGTGAACTGTATTTTGTCTGGCAAACCTTACCACCCTGCCCTCAGGGAACTCAGTCTTCTGGGGGAGGCAAAGGTCAAAATCAGTTATGGTCAACCAAGCATGACAGGCCATGCACACAGCGGCCCTGGGCAGTGTGGGGCAGAGGCCAGGAAGGGGGAAATAAATCAGGGTGGCCCTCATGGAGGACGGATGGGTACTGAGTCTTCAAGAGGGAGGAGGATGGAAGGGCAATCCAGCTGGAGGGGGGTCACTATGAAATGGATAGAGGTTAGACAGCAGGTGTGGGGACTCACGGTGACAGTGGATGAGAGTGCTGGAGGAGAGGCCGGCTCACCACATCCTTGTAGACCTCGATTAAAAAGTAGGACTGAGGCAGGGCAGTGCTCCGTCGGACGCCCTCAGGGGTCTCTCAGGGAGGGTGGCACAGGACTCAGCCCAGAGGCACCTCCCAGGACGACAGCGGGCGGGTGACAGGGCCCTCTCCCACCCACTCTCCGTGCGGTCCAGGGCTCCCTGGGAGAGGACGCCCTGGGGCGTAAGGAGGTCTCTGAGGGGGTGAGGCGCTGAGAGCCCACCGTGGGCGCTGTGTCTCCACAGGGGAGTGAAAGCCCAAACCAAGAACGGTGCCACGCCCCTGTACCTGGCGTGCCAGGAGGGCCACCTGGAGGTGACGCAGTACCTGGTGCAGGAGTGCGGCGCGGACCCGCACGCGCGCGCCCACGATGGCATGACCCCGCTGCACGCCGCGGCGCAGATGGGCCACAGCCCGGTCATCGTGTGGCTGGTGAGCTCCGGGCCCGGGCGGGGCGGAGCCGGCAGGGCGGGGCGTGGAGAGGGCGGGGCGTGGAGAGGGCGGGGCGTGGAGAGGGCGGGGCGAAGGCGGGGATGGTGACGGGGCGGGGCCATCAGGGGTGGGGCGGGGCCTGGTGCCCAGCCCCCGCCCCTCTCTCCCCGCCCCTCCCGCCCAGGTGAGCTGCACCGACGTGAGCCTGTCGGAGCAGGACAAAGACGGCGCCACCGCCATGCACTTCGCGGCGAGCCGCGGCCACACCAAGGTGCTCAGCTGGCTGCTGCTGCACGGCGGGGAGATCTCGGCCGACCTGTGGGGCGGGACCCCGCTGCACGACGCCGCTGAGAACGGGGAGCTGGAGGTCAGCGCGGGCCCGGGGTGGGGGCGCGCGCCCTCTGCCGGCACTGCGCTCTCTGCAAGACCCTGCCCGGGCGCGGGAGGCCGGGTCCTCACTGCATGCCCCCACAGTGCTGCCAGATCCTGGTAGTGAACGGCGCGGAGCTGGACGTCCGCGACCGCGACGGGTACACGGCCGCCGACCTGTCGGACTTCAACGGCCACAGCCACTGCACTCGCTACCTGCGCACGGTGGAGAACCTGGTACGACCACTGCGCTGCTCCTGTCGCATTCTCTCTTCTCGTCCCCCACCCCAGTGGTGGGTGTCGTCACCCCTTTTACCAAGGAGGAAGCTGAGGTTCAGAGACCCCACAGGACCTCTCAGCCCAGAACCACTGCCTTCTGGGGACTGAGGGAGTAGAGGCACAAAGGTTAACAGAAAGAGGACAGGGAAGAACAAGGTCACCTCAAGGGGTAAGGCTGGAGAAATCACAACATATGCCCCATTGGGAACAGGTAGGCTCATTCACTTGCCCATAGACATTAGCTTGGGTATAACTCTCAGCCACACTCTGCAGAAGAGGGTGTAAGAGTCCCATTCTACAGACGGATAAACTGAGTCTGCAGGGCACCAAGATCACATCATCAATAAATGGTAGAGTGGAGAATCTGCCTCTGATGGCCTGGCCAGCAGCCACCCCTCGGCCATGGCACTGTACATTTGCTGACCTCATGGATGCTTCATAACTGGAAACCCACGCTACTCTTTTTAAATTATTTTATTATAGTGAGACATCCATGAAGTGACCCATTGGGATTTGATCTCAGCTGTGGGTGTCTCAAAGTGCAGGGTGCTGCACCATCTGGTACAATGCCTGCCTTGAGGCAATGGGTAGGAAAGAGAGTGGGCCTCGCAGGCAACCACACAAGGATGTGGACCAGCTCCTGGCCACGGAAGGACTGTGAGTGAGGCCCGGAAGGGAGGAGGCAGATGGTTCGTGCCCTGAGCAGCATCTATCCATTTGCCCTGCCTGCCAGCACAGGGGAATGGTCCAGACTCTGGGGGCTGCAGAAAACAGCAAGGCCCAGAGGCCAGAGGCTGCAGGTGGGCCTGAGGATGAACTTCCATCAAGAAAGAGGCTCCGGAAGAGAATGAGTGTCCCAGCATGTAGTGAGCACTCACTAGGGTATACAAGCAGGGATGGACACTGGGAAGGGCATTTCTACATCCATGGTGAGTTCCCTTCAGCTAAGAGAGTCTGTGACTCTGTTGAGGGACTGTGGGGGGTGCCATCAGAGTCCAGGGCAGGTGAGGGCCTCCCTGGATGCAGCTGCTAGCAGTCATAGGACAGCAAACACCATTCATTGGATTCTGACTTAGGCAGGTACCCTGCCAAGTGCCTTAAAGGTGTCATCTCAGTTACTCTTTACAGTACATTAAAAAAATAGTTGACAGGCCGGGCGAGGTGGCTCATGCCTGTAATCCCTGCACTTTAGGAGGCTGAGAGGCGGGCAGATCACCTGAGGTCAGGAGTTCCAGACTAGCCTGACCAACATGGAGAAACCCCGCCTCTACTAAAAATATGAAATTAGCCGGGTGTGGTGAGCATGCCTGTGATCCCAGCTACTTGGGAGGCTGAGGCAGGAGAATCACCTGAACCCGGGAGGCGGAGGTTGTGGTGAACCAAGATCGCGCCATTGTGCTCCAGCCTGGGCAACAAGAGCAAAACTCTCTCTCTCAAAAAAAAATACTAGTTGACAGGCCGGGCACAGTGGCTCATGCCTGTAATACCTGCACTTTGCGAGGCAAAGGCTGGTGGATCACCTGAGGTCAGGAGCTTGAGACCAGCCTGGCCAACATGATGAAACCCCATCTCTACTAAATAGACAAAAATTAGCTGGGTGTGGTGGTGGGTGTCTTTAATCCCAACTACTCAGGAGGTTGAGGCAGGAAAATCGCGTGAACCCAGGAGGCGGAGGTTGCAATGAGCCGAGATTGCACCACCGCAGTCCAGTCTGGGCAACAAGAATGAGACTCTGTCTCAAAAAAAAAAAATAGTTGACAATATGGCGTGTACTGTGTGCCACGTCCTGGAGTTCAGCAGGACCTGTAGTGCCGTTATCCCCATTTGCAGATAAAGAAACTTAGGCACAAAAAGCATAGGTGACCCGGGATGACACAGCTAGTAATTGGGGGAGGGGAAGTTTGAAGCCATTGTCCCAGGCTGCAGAGCTGGGATCCCAGCCTCTTATCTGCTGCCCACAGGGGTCAGGGCTGGGTACCCTCTGCACCTATTGCTGTTGGCCAGGTAAAGAGCACCTTTGGGTGCTTCCCAAGCCACCTCCTGTGGCTCCCCCTGACTCCTGGGGTAGGCGGCAGGGCCTGGTCCCCTGGACTGAGTGGAGCGTGGGTGCCCTGGTCCCTTTGCCCAAGCAGGCCCAGCTGCGGCAGTGACAGATCCAAGCCACGGAAGATGCTGGCCCAGAAAAGGCAAACACTCCCGCAGAGCCCCTAATTACGGGGCCAATGAGCGCAGCCGCCAAGCTGTTACCTGGTGCCAGGCCTGCCTCTCTCTCCCAGGGGGCCTGTGACACTTCTTAGGCAGGGAGGGGGCACGGGGCAAGGAGGCGCAGGCCTGGGCAGGAGGCAGCGGAACAAGCAGGCTTGTCGGCAGCTGGGGCAGCATGGGCAATGTAAGCAGGACCCCCACCCCAGGCCCCTCTGCACTGGGAGAGGGCAGGCCTATGGTCAGATGCACAGACTGGGTGGGGTGGGGGTAATGGCAGCCTGCTCAGCTGACCATCCAGGCCCCACACTTCCCCTAAGGGCTCCATCAGGAGACAGGCCGGGCTGGTGTTAGGAATCTGCCCCAGGTCCCAGGTTGGGCCAGGAGAGCCGGCTTGGTAGCCAGGTAACTGGAGGTGGGCCTGTGCTGTGCCCCTCCCCACAGAACCACTGGAGCCAAGGCCCTCTGCCGATCTGCCGATCGTGAGACAGAAGGCCAATCTCCTGGCAGTTCTTCCCTTGGGGTGCAGCCCAAGGCCCCCTCCTCATCAATTTCTCCACCCTCCTAACCAGGGAGGAGCCAGCAGAGGGAGTTTCCCAGGAACCTGGTCCTGCTGCCTGGCGGGGCTGGGCTCAAATCTTAACATGGAGGAAGCTAAGACTCTCTAGTGATGGGGAAGGGACGAGTGATGGGGAAGGGGCCCTGGAGAGCGGTGTGGCTTGGCCAAGATCCCACAGCGAAGGCATGGCTGAGTGTGACCTTGGCCTGGAGGGCGACCTGTCTTGGGGTGCACTGGCCCTCATGGCCTCCCTGCCTCCCCTTCAGAGCGTGGAGCACCGTGTGCTGTCCCGGGATCCCTCTGCTGAGCTGGAGGCAAAGCAGCTGGACTCAGGCATGTCCTCACCCAACACCACCATGTCGGTCCAGCCGCTGAACTTTGACCTCGGCTCACCCGCCAGCACCCTCTCCAACTACGACTCCTGCTCCTCCAGCCACTCCAGCATCAAAGGCCAGCGGCCTCCTCGCAGTGAGTGTGCCCTGGAGGTAGAGGGGGACGGAGGGGAGACGGAAGCCAGACTACTGGGCTGTGAGAGCTGGCCTTGGGCCGCCTGCCACAGCCAATATCAGAGTTTACCCACATTGCCTGCTCTTAAACATGGGGAGGAGACCCCTTCTGGTGAGAGACAGATGTCACTCATGCTTGTGTGTGCTTATCACAAATAATATACATGTACATCCACATGTACTCTCCCCACTGACAAAATCCACATGTCCCACCCACCATTCACTATTTTCAGCTACTGACATACAAAAGTGCACACTTGTACATACAACATACAGATACGAACATACACAAAGAGCCGTGCAAATATCTGCACATACCCACCTTACGCACAAGCACAGGATGCTCTATTTCCATACTCCAGATGTGCACACTCCAGATGTGCACACACACACAACCGTGTCCACAGAGCAATGCACACACATTCAAATGTCCAGACACACAATCACCTAGGCAGAAGGCGGGCGAGTGTGGATAAGCCCTGACCACGCCCTGAGCATGGGCGTCCGTCCACTTGCAGTGCCTGCTTCATGCCGCCAGATAATGGCCTGCAGAGCCGGCAGGGGTGCCCTGCAAAGATTGGGTGTGGCAGTCATATTGCCAAGGAGCCCACCGACCCTTCCAGGTGGCCCTGACCTCTAGACACACCCAAAGCCCCCAGTGCTTCCCTTCCAAACCGGAGCACCTGGTTTTCCAAGTAAGTGCTGGGCTGGGGCAGGGCAGGGCCAGGGAGAGGAAACCCAGCACTGCCAGGGGCCACAGCAGGTGTACCAAGTGGAGCCCGCCATGTCCCTTGGCAAGTTGTTTCCAGGTGCCAGACTCTCCATCTTGGGGGACAGTTTGGCTGCATGCTCCCAAATCTGGCCCTTCCTCCTGCTTCCCCAGGGCTTTCCAGCACCAGAGCTGCAGACATACAGAGCTACATGGACATGCTGAACCCGGAGCTGGGTCTGCCTCGGGGCACAACTGGCAAACCCACACCCCCACCACCCCCACCCAGCTTCCCCCCGCCACCCCTGCCCCCAGGCACCCAACTGCCTCCACCCCCACCTGGCTACCCAGCTCCCAAGCCTCCTGTGGGACCACAGGCAGCTGACATCTACATGCAGACCAAGAACAAACTCCGACACGTGGAGACAGAGGCCCTCAAGAAGGAGGTAGTGAGCCCTCACCCCCTTCCTGCCTCCCAGCAGGGGGACTGGGCTGATGGGGGCCGCTGAGGCCAAAGGCCTGGCCTCATAGTGGGCATAGGGTGGGGATCCCTGTGTCCATGGCATGTTCAAGAGTCAAAGCTCCTGGCAATTCCAACTGGGGATCAGGGCTGGACACTGGACCAGGAGGAGAGTAAGACCAGGTCGCTGCCCTCAATGGGAGCTGGGAAGTGAAGGTCCAGACAGCTGTGCCTCACCAGGAACTGGGCCTGTGCCACCTCTTGCACAGAGTGGCCGGGTTGTCATGGAGTTGACAGAGAATGCATATAGACTGCCCCTCCCCAAACACGCACATTCCCACAGCCCCAGGCCCTGTTGGAGAGTGGTACCCAAGGGAGGTGGTTGCCAGGTGGAAGGTGCCAGTGGCATGGCTGTGAAGGGGAGGGCTGGGAGGAGGGTGGAGGGAAGGTGAGCGGGCACTAGCAGGGTCGGGCGCCCAGTGGCTGTGGGGGCTGGGAAGGAGGGGAAGCTGCAGCTGGTTCCAGTTTAGGGCTTGGGCTCTGTGCAGAGAGGATCAGGCCTGAGGTGGGCACCCTGGAGGGAAGCGAGCCTGTGTGGAGGGGATGAGGCCAGGGTGGGCAGGTGGAATGTGAGATGCCTAGTGACATCTGGGCCTGCAGGCCCCTGGCTGAGGCTCTGGAGCAGGGCTGGGGGCAAAGGTCTGGTCTCAGCAATTCTGGAAGTCCTGGGCAGGGAGACCTGGGAAACTCTGGCGTTCTGGCCACAGGAACATGGCAAGGCTGGTCTGAGAGGTGAGGGGACAGCCTGAGGTTGCAGGTGGCTAGATGTGGTGTGACAGCCCCCTGGGGTCCTTCTGGAGCTTGGGACCTTGCAGTTCTCTAAGCCCAAGGCAAGCCACGCCAGGGCCAGTTTATACGAGGTCACAAGGCCACTGGGCAAGGGAGACACGGGAGGGACACTGAACTCCAGGGCAGCTCTAGCGGCCACCCTCTTTATGCCATCTTAGATCCAGCTCCCACAGTGGCTTCCCCTTTCATCTCTGGGAGGCAGAGAGGGCCGGGCAGGTAGGGCTGCGAGTGCCCTGGAATCCCTGAGCTCCCAGCCCAGCCTGTGGGCCCCGCCCAAAGCCAGGGTACAGGTGGCCCAGCCAGTGCCCCCTCTCCACCGCTGAGCCCAAGTGCCGGGTCTGTGTGCGTCCCTCCTGGCTGTGTGCGTGCTGGGCCGCAGGCGCCAGGGCCCGGCCGGGACGCTCCACAAAGGGCTCTTTGTGTGACCGCGGCGCCCCCGGCGCGGGTGCCTGACCGCGGGCGGGAGCAGGGTCGTGGCGTCCGAGCCTCTGGGCCGCAGGGGGCGCGGAGCGGGCGGGCTGGCCCAGAAAACAAATCCCGCGGTGTCGCGTTTCCTGCAACGTGAGCCAGGTCGGGCGGGGTGGAGGGTCTGAGGCCACCGCCGGGACGCATGGGCTGGAGGGTGGGGCAGGGGACAGCCCCCACCAGGTCATTCCGTCTTGGGCTGGGCCGCCTCACTCTCGCAGAGCTGAGCATAGTGGGGGGCAGCTGCGACAGGGCGGGAAGCCTCGCTGTCACCTGACCCCGCCTTGCGGCCCCTGAAACCTGAGGCTTGATCGCGGGTGTCGGTGTCGCTTTCGTGGATGGCGATGGTTTCCAGATGCAGGAGGGGAAGGGTGGGGACCCGACCCGGAGCCCCCTCTGCCCACAGTCAGCCCTTTCCTGTCTTGGGCAGGAATGAAGGTGGGGACTCAGCTCCCAGTTTAGGGAGAGGCGCAGGGGGCGGGGCCACATCTGGGCGGGGGCGGGCGCGGAGAGGCGGCCAGGTGTGGCAGAGTAGTTGGCGCCCCCGTAGCATCCGCGACGGCTGGGGGGGTTCGGCCTGGGATTGGCGGGCCCCGGGTGATGTCAGGCCGTCCGAGCCCATAGGCTGGCCGGGCGCGGGCGGCGCGGGCCGGCTGTAACCTGAGAGGAAGGATCAGGTAACGCAGGTGTCGGGTCCTGCCGCCCCCACCGCCAGGTGCACAGCGGGGGCCACCAGCACCGTGGCAGGTAGGAGCAGCCCCCGACGGGCACCTGGGGTCCGGGGCAAGCCGGAGCCTCGGAGGGCACAGGCTCTGTAGGGGGCTCCCGCCGAGCTGGGATCCCCGACAGACCCGCAGTCCGTCTGGCAGCCGAGAGCGGGGTGTGGGCAAGGCACTAATGCTGGCTAAGCTGAGAGGTGCCCCTTCTCCAGCTCCCCCTGGCGTCGGGGCTGAGCCACCCGCCCTTGGTCCCGCCCCTTCTGGCCTCTGTGGGGGCCCCTGTGCCCCTTGGCCGGCTCCCAGAACCTCTCTCTGTAAGGCGGGCGGAGCCTGCCCTTCCATCGAGGCCCCCGTGACCCTCGCCCTGTGCCCGCCCTGAGAACAGGGGGTCTAGGAAGGCAGCCCCCGCACCCCTTGAAGGCCGCTGGCCGCGAGTCCCTGGGAGGTGAAAAGCTGGGTGGGGAGGCGTGGGGGGCGCCTACCCGGCAGGTGCCCGAAGCCCACCGGCCATTGTCTTCCCGCAGCCGAGCGCCTGCGACGGCCACGACGGGCTGCGGAGGCAGGACTCCGGCCGTAAGCCCCGCGCTTTCAGCAAGCAGCCCAGCACAGGGGACTACTACCGGCAGCTGGGCCCCGGCCCCGGGGAGACGCTGGCCGCACGCCCGGGCATGGCGCACAGCGAGGAGGTGCGTGCCCGCCAGCCCGCACCCGCCGGCTGCCGGCGCCCCGGCCCTGCCGCCCGCGGCTCACTCGAAGGCCCCTCGGCTCTCCCGCAGGCGGCGTTGCTCCCCGGGAACCACGTTCCTAATGGCTGCGCCGCGGACCCTAAGGCGTCCAGGGAGCTACCGCCGCCGCCCCCGCCGCCGCCGCCGCCCCTGCCCGAGGCCGCGAGTTCACAGCCGCCCGCCCCACCTCTGCCCCTCGAGGGCGCTGGCCCTGGCTGCGGGCAGCGCCGCTCCTCCTCGTCCACCGGCAGTGAGTAGGGGCGGGTTGAGGGGTGGGGGGAGGCGCTAGCCCTGAAAGGGTAGGGAAATCTAGACACCGCCCCCTCCCCAGCTGCCACCGCCCCGTCCTTCCCCGTCCTTCTTCTTCTTGCTCTTCCTGCCAGCCCCTACCCCATTGAGTACTTGACCCTAAAGGGAGGGCTCTGGGTTGTTTGAAGTCCTGCCAGAGCAGGATGGGCTGTGTGGCCTGGGGCAGGTCCCCTGCTGCCTCTTGGCCTGCCTCCCGCCGGCTAGAAAGGGCCCCCCAGCCCTGGCGGCTGGCATTTGGGTTGAGCTGGTGCTGGAGGGACACTTGAAGTAGAACCAGCTTCAGAGAGGCCCCGCCCTGGCCGCCCATCCCCTGGCCGGTCCGTGCTGAGCCTCTCTTCCTTTCCCCACCTCTTTCTCTTGTCCTTCCAAGTAGCACAGACCTGAGCCCTTCTTAGATATGCCAAGAACTCATCCTAGCCAGTTCCTGCCAGGGTCCCTGGGCCAGCAAGTGCCTGGCTATGGGCGCAAAGCTAGTGACCCTCCATATTTCCCCTCCCTCCCCAGTAACTTCCCTAGGCATCCTTTTTTCTCGAACTCCTGACCTCAAGGTGATCTGCCTACCTGGGCCTCCCAAAGTGCTGGGATTACAGGTGTGAGCCACCGCACCCAGCCCCAGGCATCCTTTTTTTTTTTTTTTTTTTTTTTCAATTGAGACGGAGTTTCGCTCTTGTTACCCAGGCTGGAGTGCAATGGCGCGATCTGGGCTCACCGCAACCTCCGCCTCCTGGGTTCAGGCAATTCTCCTGCCTCATCCTCCTGAGTCGCTGGGATTACAGGCACGCGCCACCATGCCCAGCTAATTTTTTGTATTTTTAGTAGAGACGGGGTTTCACCATGTTGACCAGGATGGTCTCGATCTCTTGACCTTGTGATCCACCCGCCTCAGCCTCCCAAAGTGCTGGGATTACAGGCTTGAGCCACCGCGCCCGGCCGGCATCCTTTTTTTTAAGAGCTAGACTGGTGCAGGATTCCAGGGCTGCTTCTCTGTAGGGTGGAACAGTGTCCCTCTGCCAGGCCACCTAGAAGGCCCAGGACAGGGTGGCTGGGTGTGATGCTCCCATCCCAGCTTGGCTGGGGTGCCTTCCTCACCCAGCCACTCGGGGCAGAGATCATGCTTAGTGGCACCCCCCAAAGCTTCATCTCCCTGACTAGGCATGCAGAGCAGAGCCGGGCCCCCCAGGGTTCCTGTGGAGTCCCAGCTCCTGAAGACTGGAGCGCATGGAGGCGTGCCCAGCACCTGCCTAGCCCCCTCCTCCTTCCCTCCACAGCCTGCAGCAGGGCTGAAGCTAAAGACAGAGAAAAATATACTCCGAACTTCCCCCAGACACCCCCACCCAGCACAGCCCGGGCTGGGTGCCCTATCCCAACCCAGTGCCAAGGTGGAGGCCCTTGCTAGGGACTAGGGCCAGTGGTGGCCCTGCCAGCCCTCAGCAGCACCCGCCAAGCTGGGAACTCGATGGACCACCCTCGTGGGGCCCCAGAGCAGCCTAAGCCAGGGTCAGATGGGCAGAAAAGCTCCTCCTCTCTTCTCCACTTCCCCCCCCTGCTTTCCCTGGCCCGCTCCCTGTCCCCTGCTGTCCCAGTCTCATCCTGGCCCCCTCTCCCTCCTAACTCCGCTGTCACTTCTCTCCTCTCCGTTCCTAGAAGTGAGAGTCCTGAGGCACAGGAAGAGTGAGTAGCTGCGCGGCTCCTGGCGGAGGCTGTGGTGTGGGATGGGGGAAGAGCAGGCAAAGCAAGCAGGAGGGGCCCAGACTCAAGGAAAGGGCAGGGGTGGGGGCCAGCAGGCCAGAGAGCCTCGAGACACAGGTGGGGCCTGGCACGTCCTACCTATGCTCATGCCCACATATGCACCCAAGCATTCTACGCCTGGCTGATGGTTTTGCCTAAATAAATGAGCCCGTCACACCGATTTTCCCTTCCTCCTCTTCTCCTCCCTGTGACTGCACTCTGGGATCCCCAGCCTGGGAATCCAAGAGCTGTCAGCCCATTTTGTTCCTCCCTCCCAGACCTGACCCCTTCCTGGGAGCTCAAGAGACCTCTCTCTCCAAATCACTATTCAGCTTTTCCACCTGAGCCAGAAAATGCAAACTCTGCCCTGGGGATTTGCATGTTACCCACCTGCCCTTCTTCCTGGGTGCCTCCCGTAGCTTTCGTAAGGGCTCTGCTTTCCTGGGCCTCTAGAGCTGAGCTGCGCTTTGTCATAAATGTGCTCCTGGCTTGCAGCCAATGTGTCTGCTTGTGCGTCTGTCTGTGGGTGTGGGAGAGAGAGAGGGGACCAGCTGGGTACTGGCACTCTAGGGTCCAGACTCTGTATTTCCTTGGAGGCCCCAGTTGACTTAGTTCAAGGGTCACTGAGGCTTTGCTGATGTAGGGACAGGGTCAGAGGGAGGCTCCACCCCAGCTGGGCTGAGCCAGGGAACCTGGGACAAAGGTCGGGTGGCTGACTCCAGGTAGTGTTTTAGAGCTGAACAGTCAGTGTCTGGGCGGAGACATATGCTAGAGTCGGCAGGGCCAGCCCAGGAGCCACCATGAATTCCCAGGGGCCTCCAGGCGGGGGCCCTCCACCCCGTGAGTAAGATGGGGAGGACCATGGGATTGCCACAGCTGGGGAACCAAGGGCCTGGCTCTGCGGGCCCCGAAAGCTGCCTGCGGGACCTGGGATCTGGAGAGCTGCCTGCTGGGCCTAAGGATGGGCACCCAGCCTATCCTGGCTTGGAAAGGGGGCTGCAGAGGGGCAGGTGAGGAGTGGTGGGGGTGTAGCCCCGCCCTGGCCAGTCCTCATCTCCTGCCTCCACATAGGCACCAAGTCTTTCAACATGATGTCCCCGACGGGCGACAACTCGGAGCTACTGGCTGAGATTAAGGCAGGCAAGAGCCTGAAGCCGACGCCGCAGAGCAAGGGGCTGACCACAGTGTTCTCAGGCAGCGGGCAGCCAGCCTCCCAGGTAGGCAGGCCCGGCAGGAGCCTGCGACCCAGGTCCCCTGGCCCCAGGCCACTGGGTGCTCAGCCCCACCGCTTCTCCCTGCAGCCCGACTCGACGCTGCCGCCTGTGTCACCTACGCCGTCACCAGCCCGGAGCCCCACACCGCCAGCTGCAGGTTTTCAGCCGCTGCTCAATGGAAGCTTGGTTCCGGTGCCACCCGCTACCCCCGCGCCCGGTGTGCAGCTGGACGTGGAGGCGCTCATCCCTACCCACGATGAGCAGGGCCGGCCCATCCCCGAGTGGAAGCGCCAGGTGATGGTGCGCAAGCTGCAGCTGAAGATGCAGGAGGAAGAGGAGCAGAGGCGGAAGGTGGGTGGGGCGGGCCCAGGGAGCCCTGGGGTCTGCATTCGGATGCACAGCCCATCCCCCATGCCACCTCCAACTTGGGACCTCCCATTTTTTTTCTTTTTTCTTTTTCTTTTTATTTTTTTGAATTGGAGTCTCACTCTATCACCCAGACTGGAGTGCAGTGGTATGATCTTAGTTCACTGCAACCTCTGCCTCCTGGGTTCAAGAGATTCTCCTGCCTCAGCCTCCTGGATAGCTGGGATTACAGACACATGCCACCACACCCAGCTAATTTTTTAATATTTTTAGTAGAGATGGGGCTTCACCATGTTGGCCAGGCTGGTCTTAAACTCCTGACCTCAGGTGATGCCCCTGCCTCGACCTCCCAAAGTGCTGGGATTACAGGTGTGATCCACCGAGCCCGGCCACTTTGGGGAAAGCAGGTGACAGGACCCCTATTCAGGGCTTGTTCCAGTCTCCACATGCACCCCCAGCAGCCTGTCCTTGGAAGTGAGACGGCAGCCTTTCTCAGACTCTCCTTCCCCTGCCCAGCCCCTGGGAGCTGGTTAAAAGGCCTTTTCGGATTCCGGAGGCCTGGGGCGGGGCTGAGGCTCTGCATTTCTAGCCAGCTCCTGGGTAAGATTGCTGATGACGCTGGTCCAGGGACCACACTGAATAGCCAAGAGGGCTTTGGTCTCCGTCTTAGGGACCTGGGCTCTATTGCTGCGCTGCTGCCTTCCAGCTGCCAACACTGAGCTTCATCCAGCCTGTTTCCTTCTCTGTAAAGTGGGCTGATCAGCACCAGCCGGCAGGATGAGTTGTCTTTTATTCATTCTACAACTGTTCTGACAGTGCCATTCTTTTTATTTTTTGTTTTGTTTTCTTTTGTTGTTGTTGTTGTTGTTGTTTTTGAGACAGGGTCTCACTCTGTCAATGAGGCTGGAGTACAGTGGTGGGATCTCTGCTTACTGAAACCTCCGCCGCCCAGGTTTAAGCGATTCTCCCACCTCAGCCTCCTGACTAGCTGGGACTACAGGTGCATGCCGTCATGCCCAGCTAATTTTTATATTTGTAGTAGAGATGGGGTTTCTCCATGTTGGCCAGGCTCGTCTCGAACTCCTGACCTCAAGTGATCCACCTGTCTTGGCCTCCCAAAGTGCTGGAATCACAGGCATGAGCCACCGCGCCTGGCTCCCAAGTGCCGTTTATGTGTCCCACACACTGTTGTAGCCTCTGGGGATTCATGGTGAACATATCAAGGCCTGCTCTAAGGTGGCTGCGGACATGTGTGCAAGTCACCAAGAACTCAAAATGGGGCAGTGTGGGAGAGTGGGTGGTGGTGGAGAGAAGTGCCTGGGCTGGTGCCACACAGCCAGCTGCAATAATGGGGAATGCAGGGCACTGGGGCAGCCCTAACCAGCCACCTGATACGTGGGCTGGGGGCCGTGTTAGAGAAAGAGGAGGTGATGTCTAAGGTGAGACTTGGCAGATAAGCGAGGAGTGGCCAGGAGGAGAGTGGGCTGAAGAGCAGCAGGCGGGACAGGGCAGTCTGGAAGTGAGGGTGGATGTGACCTGGATTCCTGGGGAAGGGGGTTGCTGAGCTGGAGAGGAAGGTGGGGGCCAGTTTACCAAGGCCTGGCCAGCAGCCCAGAGGAGAACGGACTTTCTTCTGGAGGAGTGGGGAGCCGAGTGGGGGGAGTGTTAGGCAGGGAAGAGGCGGCTTCCTATTTGTATGTGGGGAGTGGATCCCATAGAGTCAAGATGAATTGGGGCCTCTGTAGACAGGCCCGGGGGGAAACTGGACTTCAGAGGTGGAGAAAAGTGAGCAAATGAGAATATACGGTGCCCAGCCGTCCAGCAGGACGAAGGGTGGGAGGCTCAGTGGAAGCTGTAGCTGTAGCCTCTTTTTTTTTTTTTTTTTTTTTTTTTTTTTAAAAAGGTGTTTTACTCCTTTCACCCAGGCTGGAGTGCAAAGGGGGGATCTCCGCTCACCGCGCCCCCCCCCGCCCCGGCGG